AATGGTCCAATTTTTTAAAAATATTTTATGTAGTAGGATGTTTAGAATGGTGTATCATTCTCTTACTATCTAATTGCTCTCTATCTTTCTCTCTTTATAATTCGATATGTCGAAGGTGCGCGTGAAGCTCTTACGCGATGAGCCGCAAATTATCATCGTGATCTAGCACAGCGCAACGCAACTACAACTTATTACGAAGAGAGGTCCATTACACATTATGCACGTTGAATGTTTTTTCTCGAACGCATCCATTATACATTCGTTGCGCGTGTGTGTGATTGCGCGCGCGTGTAGCATCGATTATCGATTTGTCGTAGGCCTTGTCAAGCATACGAAGGCGCTTTCAGCGGCTTTTCCATGAGTCCGTGAACGGGAATAACAGTCGGCGCTGTCGGGATTGCTGCCGGGGGCCTTTGATGTTGACACAATTTACTTTACTGGAACCTGATTGAGTAATTTGCGAATTCGCAGATATACAGGTGTGCGATTATCTAGTAGTCAGATTTTCACGCTCAGCGCTTTTGGCACACGCCGTGGTGAATTTCATGCGATTTTTCCATTCTATATTTTTCATTTGCTTGCTTACAGATGAAAAATTTAACATGACATTTATTTTGATAAAATCGCTTGCCAGTATTGAAATGCATTGACTAATGTTTGTAGTTTCAATCGAATAATTCAGCACAATGAAATAAATCTCATGCAATTTAGTTTTTTCTCTTTTTCTTCTTTTCAAATAAACTATATAAAATATAAGCTTTTCATTACTTAAAATTATTTCAACATACATGTTATGTATTGTTAAAAACAGTATATTTATATATTCGAAGCTTGAAAAAGAAAATATATGTATAATTATGTGTTTTTCTTAATCATGTAAGTGGCCATAACTTATGCTCTTTTTGTAAAATGAGCTTTGAAAATATAAAAGTCTTAACATGTTTTACCTTCTCTTTCTTTACTCTGCTTCACTATCTACTTATTATTATTCAGTTTGAGAATCGATTGAGCACGCAATGACACCTTGGCCACTCTGAAATTTCCTTTACCAGTCACTCTTGAGTAGGACATGACACATTACTGATTCCTCGACGATGTATTTTTGAGAACTCTAAGAGTGTATCATTTTCTCTATATCCACAATACGATCGTCAGCTTATAAATAAAGCTACAACAATCTATTCTTCATACGATAAAAAATTATGGCTTTTACCTATGAAAATATAATAAAGCAATGTAATAATTCCATGGTAATCGTAATTATACGCGTAATTTATATCAACTGAAATTGCATAATCCTTAAAAAAAATATCCATGAGAATTTTTCTCTAAGTGTGAGTACATATAATAATAAATAAAAACTCCATACATTTATACTTTTTCAAGAATGCAAGAATAATATTTATTATAATGTAATTATGTTCATTGATTTAATGATACCTTTGAATTACATAGAACATTTATTTTAAACATAGTCATCGATTTTTACACGGTTACACGTGATAGAACTTTTGAAATTTTGCTTAGAATACTAGAAATAGTTGGCCAGACGATAATTCAATACAATTATATTTCAGAATTATTAATTTTACTATAAATAATTTACGGCGATTCGCTAATTTTTATTGTGAAATTGGAATAATTATCGTTTAATGAAATTCCATAAGAATTATATATAATTTCGAAATTCAATGAGGGGTTTATCGATAATTTATAACACAGTTCGTCTATTCAATTTCCTTATTTGAATTTTATATAATTAATATAAATACGTGAAGAATATTAATATACAATTATAACAGAAATTGGAAAATGCATTAAAAATATCTCGATCGTTTTATATGAATGACAAACATTGATAAAGATGAGAAACTCATCATTATAATGACTGCCGATGCTCTATTAACTAAACCCACAAAATAGTTTCCAATAAATTGAATTAAATCGATGAATGATGTACTTAAGCAGGTAGCGATTCCTACTGCGCTCGCCAACTGTAATTTATTTTGCTGTGACGTTTCTCTCCCATGTTCGCGAAACAATTGCTCGTTCGATTCTATACACATGCGCCCACTTGTCTTGAGTAGCTACCGGAAAATGAATTCTTTATAAATGCAAAAAAGAGCGAATAACATACAGTGAGGACAGAGATAGAGAGAGGGTCGGATTTAGATAGAGGAAAGGGGAGGGAAAATACATATACATAACGGTAAATTCGCACATAAGCTTAGTGCGATTCTAATTCAAGCTGCTGTTCCGTGTACGCATTAAATATTCAGCGAAGAGTGCGTGTGGATCATTTGTTTGGATCTTATCTTTAACATGGATTTGCGAGAAAAGTATAAATTGTTGGAAAGTACAAAGTGAAAATGAAAATTATTGGCACTATCTCGATTCTATATACATTTTATTAATTAAAAATGTTTTCATTATTAACTGGAAAAAGTTTATATATGAATCTGCCCTGTACTTTCTAAATGTGCTACTTACTTGTATTAAATGCAATAATATAATTGCCGAAAGATAATATGAAATGCGGTGATCTGCAGCATTATATCTGCAGTATTATTATATATCTGCAGTACTATAATAATAATTAAAAGACCTCATCTCATTATGAACGGTAATTTTAAGATTCACCAACACTAATTCAAACACTTGTAATTCAACCAACACTACGATTAATAATTTATTAAATAAATAACGCTCTTTTATATTATTTCCATCTACTAGATATTTTCATCATTTGAGTCATATTATTATAGTGATGCATTAATAACATAATAATTTTTAATTTATTAAATTTAAAAAATTTATATGTTTCATAACTTGAATTTATTTGTAAACTGTATATATATATATATATATATATATATATTTATAATCTGAATAATATTCCATTGAAACATATTCTAGTAATAAAAATTGTGATATAAACTTAAGTGAAGAGGCTTCATTTTAATAATGAAATAATCCTCATTCGAATTCAGATAGTTGGCAAAAAAACAAAGTTGATAAAAATAATCGGCGAGGAGAGCACTGATCGATAATTTTCTAAAGAAATGATGTAAATGCACATTTTGCGCAAACAATCTTACGAAGCAAATGCTGCTATTGTATAGTCGTTGAAAAGCCGATTTTCTTCGCTTCTTTTTGTACGCGTGCACTCACATCCTCTCCCGCTCATTCTTCCATTATATTTATCAATCATTATTTTTCACTATAATCCCCTTGGTTCTCAAGCGTCTCGGCAACTTGTACAGAGAATTCACCCTCATTCGCTTTGCCGCGAGCCATTAGGTCTACCGAGCGTAAACTATTAGCTGCGCGTCGCGGTCATCCACCCACTTGCTCCTCTTCCCGGCCTATTCAGCTTTATTTATCGTGACAAACTAATAACGAAAGATGCTATTTGCATTTCTATTTGGGGCTTTATTATCTTGAAGAGCGTACGTATATATTATCTCGAGTTTGCCATTGTTTATTCAACAATTATGCTATTCAGTTGGCTTGTCGGGACTTTGGCGACAAAAATATATTGTAAATAATGACTTGAAATATTTGAATTCGTTGTGTTTACACGGTTGATATAATCATCGTTTAATGTTAATCATAACTTTTCAAATTACAGTGCAATCGATATTATAAAACATCTTAGAATGCAATTTTCAGCGAACTATCATAAATTCTAACATATTATTACGTCTTTACGAATTTTCCGGAAAATTATTAATATCGCCTAGTAATTGAAATATCTTGACAGGCCGTCAAGCCGGCACGACAATGAACGTAATTTGAAATGGTTTAATGCATCAACTTAGTATAGAATCGATAGGAAATGATAAATTCCAGTAGAAATCCAGCCGGTGTTGGAGACTAGCTTAATGTGCCGACTGGGATTTAGCAGATACCATGGAAGAACGTACTTTCCCTTTGTGCCGAGCCCAGCATCTCTCAGAGACTCCCGCAAATCTCTGGAACCTCCTTCGTAGCTCGGATGAGTTTGCTGGTGCAGTGCCGTTGCGTTTAAGCCGTCGCTCTAATTGGTCAACGTCAGTCCCGATGTTGTAAATGCTAATTGCGCGGCAGCCGGTGTGCGCGCTGACGCCGCTGTGTACCGATGCGTGACGACTCGATTCCGGATGTACTGCCGCTTGTACTTGTCGAATTATCATGGACGTGCGAGCCAAATTATTCTCTAAACGCGACGCGCAACTTGTCGCGAGCCCTCGGTACAACAAGAATGAATTACCAGTCTTATTACAATTACCGTGCGTGTGTAATCAAGCGCCATGATGGAAAAGGATGGACACGGTGTACGTCAGAGGGGCATATAACCTTTTTCCACTATATTATTGATTTATCTACTATTCTTAATGATGAGATGGATAGATGGAGAGGACTGCCGGGACAATTAATTAGCTTCTCAAGCTCGTCGTCAATTCTAGATATTGCCCACTATAATAACGTGGTACATGATGTCACTATTAATGAAATCATTTTAACGAGAAATGTATGGTGCTTAATAGAAACGCCTCGATAGGCATCTCTTGGAGGTTCGTTATTTTATAAGATTAGTAAGCGAGCAGCCACTTACTTTCGAGAACGTTTTGGTATTTTTGTTTATTCTCAGCCGATAGCCGGTGAGAAAGCTACTTTGCTCTTTAGAGAACGAAAATTCAATATGCTCATTTTATATACAACATATTATTGTCCCCGCGATTGATAATTATATTCGCGAGACCCGTTAAAAAATATTCTTCATAATGTGCGATAAAAAATTTCTCATTAACGGGTAATGCAAATATCATTAAAGCATAAGATATGAATACTTAGATGCAGAGAAATTATTGCTTTCTTGGCAGAAGCCAATCATCCCCTGCATCGAGCAATTATTCATTTAAAGCGAAAGCAGCCGGAATATAAACGGCCGGACACAGCCGCTTCCTAACATCATAACTCATAACTCACCCGAGTACCTATGTTTGGCATGATTGCAGGCGGCAGGACCGCCGGTGCAACTCGAGCCCGTGGATCTGTCGTTGAAGACGCCAGTGGTGCTCCAGGTGCCACGCTACAGTCCCGCGGCCCTCATAGCCGCCGCAGCTGCTGCCGCCGCCCGGAAGGTGCCCTCGCCGTCCACCGCGACCCCTAACACGATTACGACATCGAGGACGACGCTCGGGAGACCAGCGCAGGCTCTACAGCCATCCATTTGCCTATCTACAGGTTAGTCAGTGCATGTATATGTCGTATTGATTTATTCGAATTTCTATTTGGTTTCAATTGTTTTGTTTCGCTCATTGGAAGTGACGACTTTTACATACTTCTCAAGTCAGAAGCAAATATCTAAGTTATCATATTGAGTTATCATTTGAAAAGTCTGAAATCGTTGATATTGGAAAGCCAGTGCAAAACAAAGATTCTCTAAATTGCCATTTGTAAGCTGAGGCCTTCAATGTGTAAGATAATTATTGGTTGTTTTGAAATGCGAATGGATTCACGGACGAATAGATATTTTATTGTTAGACATTTCATCCGGATCAGTTGTAAATAATCATATTGAATTCATGTTACAATGAAGATTTGGTAAATATAAACATAAATATAAATATAATACTTTTAGAAAACCGGAATTGAGGATGACAGGCAAAAAACGACCCAGAGAAAACAAATAGTAGACGTATTTTTATAGATAATTCAATTTTAAAGCTAAAACTAATTTTTAAATTTCAAAAACCCAATAAATTTGCATTAGGACTTATTGTTATTGATTTGGTTAATGAAAAGTAAGAAATGCTAATAAAACAGGCACCGTGTAATGCAAAATTCAAGATAAAAAAATTTCCTTTCAACGTACGTAATTAATATTGTAGCGTATTTTCAATTCGTTCGGGCATCTTTTCACGCAAAAATAGGATCATGTTTCACACCAGGGAGTCCTTAACTGTTTAATAACAATACTAAGTTTACTTTAAATATAGAACTAATTTTCATCCTATTGTTTTATTAAGAAAGCGTAACGTTAACTTGTTTACTGTAAATAAGTTTTTTGATAACGTATTACCACATTATTATTAAAATATAAAGAGTAATATGTTTGTAAATGTACATGTAAGTATAAATTAAATTTAATGATAACAATTTTGATTACGTATTGTTCATAAAGAAAAAGTGCTTTGCAGCTACACGTTTTAATGTGGTAACTGACCACGATGGTATTTATTCATAACCATAACGTACGTACATGCAAGATGATACATTCTGTAGTTCTCTACGCGCGTTAAAGCTAAATTCACAATTGTATTTTGCATGTAAAGGAAAGTTTATTAGTAATTTTAATGATCTTTGAAATGGATATAATCAACTCTTAGTTGATAAAAACATTTTACGTACTTTGACGTTCCATGCTATTTCTAATATTTCATCCAACTAAATCTCTCACCGTACTATTTATATCAACTAATTTGAAATTAAGCGAGGCCATTACCGGCAGATTAGCATTTATGTGCAGATGTGAAAAAATTACAAGTAAATTGTCCGACAATACCTATAAAAAAATTCTAACTTCAATTTTATTGAATTATAGATAAGTTGTGTGTTTGATAAAGGCTTTAGTTTATGCATTTCAAATAGTTTTTATTTCATTTATCAACGCAGAGTGAGCCAGTACATTCGCCTAATAAAGTTCGCGATACAAAAGAATAACGACTTGTTTGACGTGGTCAGTGAGAAAACATTTATTTACCATACTTAGGACCTAAACCCGAAAAGAAGTACCCTCGTAAAACCTTAATTTTATTGCCGAGGAAAACTCAGACTACATGGCAACCCGAGATTCGCAGTCGATATTGTCTTCGCATGATCCTATACAAGGTGCGGTACAATTTTGGTAAAAGGGGAGATAATCTTGTGTATGCGAACACGAACACTTTACTGCCAACTAAAAGGCTGACAACGAAGACGACGTTGGGGCCGCGCAGTGGCGATGTGACGTCGCTAGCCAAATGACCGGCAATGAAGTGCTCCGCTACTTTTATTTTATAGGTTAATTATGCGTTATATTCGCAGCTTCACGAGGATACGTCAAGGGCAAAACTACCACTATGAATGATCTAGAGGGTTGGAACGTTTTAAGGTTGTCGAGAGAGACTAGGCTACTGCTGAAACGTGGCCATTAAATTAACACGATCTTAAGGAAGGATTAGATTTTAATTTTGTAATAAAATATAAGTACTTGTATTCTAAGCTTCTTATGCCCCAGCATTTGTGGAATAGAATAATTTCACCTCGCTGCCTTATTCCTTGCAATTTTTCATACTTTTCAATTCACTATTCGTATAATGTATTTTCAAATTTGAGATACCAATAAAGCGTTTTTTTCTTTCGAATAATAAAGTGTAGTAAATTTAACAAAGTGTTGTAAATTTTAAATTACTTTTAAATCTAAGTCATCGAATTTTCCTTACATATGGAATCTCATCTCGGACAAACTTAATTATTAATTTTAAATTTAAGTGTATATCTGAATCTTTTGACAACAATCATCATTTCTTACTTTTAAATTGTTCATACAAGATTATCAATTTTGTTCTTGTTATTGTTAATTGATTCATGGCAATTACATTCTTTACAAATACATATATCATAATTATTAATGAATTTCAACGCTCTAACAACTATAAAATAATTAAAACTAATGCTAACAACTTAATCTTCGGTAATCCTCGTCACTCTTCTTTTATGTAATTCCCATATTTTTAACATTCAAATTATTCAAATTATATATATAAATATAAATATAAATATATATATATATATATATATATATATATATAGGTATATAAATGTACAAGGAGTAAACTACCGCGATTTTCAAGCTTTCCGCGTTGATTTGCATCTTTATTGCGTTAGCTTGCGCGAGGTTAAGAGCTCGCACCTATTAATTCCAGGCGAGAAAAAATAATGGGGAAGCTAAATTTTATGAGCGCTCATTATCTTCCTAGCAAGTTTGGATTTGAAAGAGTGCACAATCTTAATTGTCCGTAGAAAATATTCAATGATATACTTTCAACAGCAGTGTAAATAATTCAATTTTTTAATTGAAAACGGTATTTTTACCGAAATCTGATTTCATACGTTATATATCATAATTTATATTTTATTTATGAATTAAGGTCAATTGTAAGCCCATAGCTCGATTAGATTTTTCGAAAGAGCAGATTACTTGTGTGAGAAATTGGAGAAAGCCTAGAATTTTATTTTAATGTTGTAGATTCTCACAAGATTATAGAGGTACATGTTGAAATTAATATTTGTATTTAGTATGCAAATTAATTATCTTTTATGAATACTAACCTTATACTGATTTACTCACTAGTTGAGTAAATACCAAATATTTAAAGTTTCACTTTTGCTGCAATAATGAAACACGAATAAGACCTACGTGATATTCACTCTTTGATATCTGCATTTGATATATATATATATATATATATATATCAAAATTATTCATACATAAGAATGAAAACAATAATTTATTGAGTACATTTTTTCATTTATAAACAATACTAGACAAATAATTTCAAATAAATTTGATGTCAAGTCCTGTTATTTTATAAATTAATTGTAAGTGTTTAAATAATTATAATAACGTTAAGCTTATGTTTATTTTTAAATTTCATGATTAATATCTTTGAATTTTCGAATTAAGGCTTACGTAAATATGCTCCAAATACACTTATATTGAGTAAAACCGTGTTGAATAAACGAAAAACCCACAAATCAACTTTCGCAAAAAAAAAAAAATAAAAAAAAGAATTCTCGAAAGCGGCATATAAAACTCAAGCGAAGTAACATCGTTCTCGCACGCAACCCAAATCGAACGGACAGTGATCAGAAAATTCCTGCGTGCCAGTATCTCTTGTAGAGCGACGGGCGCCTCCATATATGCATCGTGATGCAACCAAAAATCGTAACCCACCTGGTAGCGAAATTAACAAGAATAAAAAGTATGATGAAATGTAATCGATCTTCGATTTTTGGTTAGCTGGCACTCACAACCAAAGCTTTTTATAACATTGGCGAGGTGACCGAAGCCACGTATTTATTTGAATTCATATGGAAATGTTGACTCTTAGTTTACTACCCTGGGCAAATCGACCATAAATGGCAAATATTTCAATGAATTTTTAAAATAACAATTGGAATTTGTTCAACGGTATTGACACTAGTTCTTATGCTATACGTTAAATTTTAAAGAGAGATTTTAAATGATACAATTTTCTTTCTACTCTTTCCAGACTATTGATTAAAAAAATGATTAATTATTCGTTTAATATAATCTTCCTTAATGACATTTTTATTTTAAAAGTAACTTGAATTATAATATATGTTTAATATAAACGATAAAAACATCAGTATGTTATTTTATTACTTTTGGTTGTATAGATTGAAATGCATGGAGAAATTTGAAAACAATTTTCTTAATGTATTTGAAAGAAATATGATTATGTTAAATACAATATTGTCTATTATCTACATTTTATACATTGATTTTGAAAAAGATTTTTGATAGCTCCCTTTTATCTTTACATTTAGCCAGTTAAAAATGTTTAAATAAAAAGATTGCTGAATTAAAATATAGTAATATTGATAAAAGAATTATAGTTGTAAGCACTGAAAATTGAGATTAATTTTTGTATTTACTTGTTTAAACATAGGCTTAACATCTACGCCCTTACGATATTATTTACGATGTCGTTTGTATTATGGATTGTTCAATTCCCCTAATCATTCTAGAGCTATTCTATATTACTGCCTAATAAGCACTAATTTTAACTGCAATGTAGTCTTATGAATATCCAAGGATAAGCGAGAATAGAATTGACAAGAATGAAAGGGAAGGAGTGGGAATAGAGTTTCGTACGAGCGGCTAAGCTTAAAAATTATGATCATTAACAGCATCACTCAGACGCCATATTAAAGTACAAGTAATCAATATTGTTGAGTAACCAAGACTTTAAGGAAATTCAACTTGAATACGATCGAAATTCTTTGTAATTATTACTGACTCGTAATTGGTAGTAGTAAGGTATTGGTACATAAATATACGACGTGAGAGCTTTAATTTCGCGTTTAGATGGAATTTTTATTCACATGTAGTTATAGGCATATTAATTATGTTTTATAAAAATTACGTATAAATAAAATGTATTTATATAAATGATAGGTTTCATATTTCTTATATGTAGTTCTATTGGTGATGCATATCCTAGGAATTAATTATTCTTTTGTAGACTTGCATTGTTCTTCACAGCGTTAATATTAAGTTATTCACACAATATACCGAATATAATATTTTATTTATGAATTAAGTCGCTTGTACGTTAAATTTTTCTTAATAATATCACTCATTTTTTTCTACATTATTCAACGCAGCTGGTAATTATCTATGATAAATACAAATCTCTCTTTTTTTTGAAATATATAGAACATATTACGGATAAACGTGCACATTCTTCGTGCCTATAGAGTCTCGGAAATTTATCAAGTATTAGCATCCAAGACTGCAAGACACCTTAAATAAATAATCTCGCTGTCGAATTGTTTCTTCCAAGTATGCAACGTCACTCATATGGACGCACGTGCGTATCCACATTCCGGCCTCGTCGGCCATTAATTGCGTAAGTACCCATTCGGAAAAAGGCGTCATTCCGTGAGTCGAGCGCCCGCGCATTCCACATCGCGAGAATCGAATGCGCCGCAACGATTGACTTGAGCGAGTAGCGGATGGCTCGCGAGTCCGGGGAGACGCGAGTCGCGCGACGAAAACTAATCGCCCGATTAGGAGAGCCATTATGCGCATTGGCCGTTAATTGCCCGGGAGCAAAGTGACTGCCGGCGGAACAATTGAGGCCCCTACGTCTTTCCCCAACCTCGCTCGCGTATTAATTTATGAGACGTCAGCGCGCGCTCTTCATTTCCGTGGGCATTTGCATTCTCGCATTCAATGGCGGAGGGGAGCGTAATTGCGACTACGGCTTTCAATGCTATGCCGACTCGCTCTATTTGGAGGCGAATAAATATTTTAGCACAGACTGATTGTTGGCTAAATACGGCTTGGCTTCGAGCGCCCGAGGCTTCCCTGCTTTTCACTGATTTATGCCTCCGCCCGTTATCTGCATTATTGTAATGTACACAACATTTTTATCGAATGCTAAATTGAACTTTTGGAGGATGGCTGTGCAGGGTATGGAACTATAGCCTTCCTTATTATCGGAATTGCATTAAACTATACGAATGTAGCAATCTTTAATGATAATATAAAAAACAATAATAATAACAAAAACTAAAATAGTTATGACTACACTAACGGTGACTATAGTTGGTATAAATAATAATTGATCATAGTTAATACAATATTTATTCGTTTCCAACGATCGTACTTATTACTAGTTATATTTAATATAATCAACAGGCATATAATACAGCATAATTATTGATCTGAAAGATCAAGATTTTTCGAAAGATTTTACACGGTATTTATAAACAAAAACCCAACATGAACTATAACGATTATTTGCTAAAAATAAATTATTATCTACATATGTTATGGTATATATATATATATATATATATATATATATATATAAATTCTATAGATAATATGTTCGTATTATAAAAATCAATATAAAAACCTATTATACAAATCTATTATAGAAACATAAAGATATATATCTTTCATACATGTGTTTTACTGAATATTTATTTATAGTATAATATTAAATTAAAGCTTTGTAATAATTAGATGCACAAACGTCGCACTTTGATTATAAGATTGAAAGTGGTGAACTATTTCAAGCATCCAATATCTCCAACTGAAAAAGGCTTACCGACAATCGACAAAGAGACACTTAAACTCACACGATTCTTTCGTTACATAAAATGCATTCATTGCATGTTCTCTATTGAAATATGTCTTGTTTTATTAAGACTACACTCTTCATATCCAATTCAGTGCCGATTATGAGCAATTTACCGAACTTAGTTAATTTACAATTAATCTTTGCTCATATTATGAATTATAATCGTAATAAAGTAAATCTTGCATAAATTGAAATATATTTATCATTTTATTTATAAATAAATGATAGTCCAATTCATATGTAAGAACTTTTAT